CGCCCCCCTCTTCCCAGCAGTGCCGGGGGGGAAGCGGCTCAGGGGACTGGCCGCAGGTGCCTGCCACGGCACGCCGGCGCTGCTTTAGCATCTCTGGACACTTCGGCACCTCTGGTTGTGCTCAGGGTTCTCCCCACTTCTAGGGCTAGGGGCCTGAGAGCAGGGACCCGAAATTATGTTCCTTGGGTCTTGCTGCCTGTTGCCGTCCTTTAACAGCCAGACAATAAACAGGCCTTTTTGGTGAAGAAACGTTTCCCCACTTCTAGGGCTAGGGGCCTGAGAGCAGGGACCCGAAATTATGTTCCTTGGGTCTTGCTGCCTGTTGCCGTCCTTTAACAGCCAGACAATAAACAGGCCTTTTTGGTGAAGAAACGTTGCATGTGCCAATGGAGCAAACAGCAAAGGTAGAAACCAGATTGTGTCAGTCCTGCTCGTGTCTGTGTGACCTACCTCCAGGAGTGCAGGGAGGGGAGGCCTTCCCCACCACACGGCTAGGGCAGGGGGCCTTTCCCACTGGGCACACACCCTGCCTGGTTTCTCCAGCATGGAGCACACTTGGGTATAAACTCCTGTGAAGGAAACCATACAGAAGTAATGGGAAATTATTAGCATTTAAAAGGAGTTTCAGAGGCTGCTGAGCAAACACTGATCATCCATGTACAAATGCTTCCATAAATCCAAACTTCGAGGCTATCATTTTAATAAGGACCATGTGCTGCACCTCTTAGCATTACTGGGTCTCTGTTAAAGGAGAGATTGAGCATTTTGGATGCTTCAGTGAGCCAAGTGACTTGCCCCAGTTTATTGAATAAAAGGGTTGGTTACAGACCAGGAAGAGAGCTGTTCTTCTTCTCAGTCATGTATCTGTCCCGTTACTTCAGTTTCCCTTTCTTCTATCTGAATATTTGAATATTGACAGATCTGGACTCAGAAGAGCTGGAGTGAGGAAACACTGTCTGCATCAGAGGGCCCAGGGAGCTCATGGCATGGCCGGGGTGGTGCTGCTTTCCTTTC